CTTCATATCGGAACTTCGTGATCGGTAGCGTGCCCAAAATATTGCGTCGCGTGCCATAGATGGCACGCATGCCATTGGTTCGCCATTCCTGACATATACAGTTGCTGGTCAATCATGCTAAATATTCAGTTATGCCAAAAATGTTGTCTCTCTAAAATGCTATAACTTCAATGTATGGTTTCATTCTGGGTGATAAAAGAATGACTTTTTTTAAAATATTTTTCTAAGACTGAAAAAATCGTTCCTATCAAGTATAGCGATACTGAAAAATTAAGAACCTTTAAAAACCTTGTACCAAAATTAAGTACTTTTAAGGGCCCTTAATTTCCAAAATAAAGATTAATCAGTTTTTAAGGACCGTATTATTAGAAAGTTCAACATTTTTCTAATCAAATAAATTGTCTCCCAACTATTTTAGTTTCACACATAATTTTAAAAGCTATTCGTCACTATATTTACATTTCAATATAAAGCCATTTTATACTATATTTTATCTAATCAGTGCTCTTTATAAAATTCATTAATTATATTTTCTTTAAACCAGTATCTCAAGTCAAATGTTTAAATAATGTTATTTTGAATAAGCATCATTATTTTAAGAGATTCAGAACACCAAAAATAAATTCGCAAATGCAAAATTGTCTAGTTTCTTGTTGTTATACTCAATAGAAAAAAGTAGATAAAATTCTTCAAAAAAAATTTTTTTTCACATTTGAAATTAAAATATTTAAAGAATTCTAATCTATATTATCTAATCTTTATTCTAATCTTATTTGAAGAATTCTAATCTAATCTTTTCTTTAGCCAAGTTAATTATTTTTGTTTTTATAACTAGAAACTTGTACCTGTACATGTAGAACAAAAAAACTAAGTTTTGTTTTCCTTCTTCATTAATAAAACATTTTTATATTCTATGTTTATACATGATTTAACATGTTTCCTATGCTTTCCTTAGTCTTTGTCAGCTTTTTAGGGTAAAAGGAGAAACAGTTTTGGAAATATCTCTGGAATGCAAGCAACATTTACGAACTTACGATATTGCGGTTACTAAACAATAAGAATTTTGTATAAATAATCAAATATTTATCAACAAAAAAGCGAAATTAAATGTTAACATATAGTTGGTTCTTAAAAAAAACCCTTTCTTTAATTAAAATACGCGTCATAAAAGGTTAAGTTGAAATTGCGAAAATTAGCATTAATCCAACAATTGTAACGATTTGTCAACACATATTGCTGTTAGCGATTTAAGGAAATGTGTGATTGGTTGGCTTTGCTGAGAAAAAATAATCAGGGGTCTGTCCAGACATTTTGTGAAAGGTCCGTTTTTGTGAAATTGTTAAAAAATTACTCGTAATTTGAGAATATAAAATAAACGTTAAGTCACATTCTTTCAACCAGGGTGCTGCTTTTGTGAATTTGTGCAAATAGGGTCCTGTTATTGCAAAACTCTTTTTCAAGGAGTTTTTAAATTGTAAAGACATACAAGATTATGCTCAACACTGTAAAATTATAATTTTAAAAAAATAAATTTTAAAAAATAAACAGCAATTGCTGGTACTAAATTAGAGATGCAAAATACAAATATTTGGTATTTAGCCTATACTGCAGAACTCAGAATATTCATTTCAGACGAATAATGGAAGAAGCGACTGCCGAACACAAAACTTAATTCGTTTACATCTGTCTTTCTTTTTTTTCTCCCTGGGAAAGGTTTATTCGATTAACAAAACAATAATGAAGATAAACAAATTTGTGAAGGGTCCGATTAAAAGATAAATTATTTTGTGAAGGGTCCGTTAACGGACCCAAATTTCTTCTAAACACACACCTGATAATTCACAAATTTCATTGCATGGGAGTACAAAAGCTATCGGAAAAAGAATGCAATATAAAACCTATTGTTATTAAATTATAACTAGTTTTTGGAGAATTTTATAAAGTAAAAATACTAAAACGTTTTAGATCATTTTGTCAAAATAGAAAAAAATAATCACTAAATTATCGGAAGCAACTCAAATCCATGCCCATGGACAAAAAGAAGAAAAAAAACCTACTTTAAAAAACAGAAGCAAATATCCTAACTCTTTCTTCCACAATTTTTGCCTTTTTTAAACTGCATAGTCCCATAGCCTCCATAGAGGGCAAAGGTTTCTCCATTCGTTTAGCAACCATGGGAGAGTTATCTGTGGCATTCTAGTTTTTATTTTCTTGAATTTTATAAATCGTCGTTTACGGTTATAAAATAAATTACGATCAGTTTACGGCTACCAATTTTCAACTCAGTAACCTTGTAATTTTGAACCCAATCCAGAAGACAAGGGAACTCATGGATCAAGTATTGGGTGAAATTTCCCTCCATGGAGGACTTTTTGATAGAACTAACCCGAATTTGAGTTACACGGAGAGGAAAACCACGAATACCTACCACAGTTACACTGATGGCAAGGGGACTCAAACCCATGATCCTTCTACCACTGAGGATATTTCACGTCAGCAGTGTGGACGGTGCGAGCCGGGTGCGGAATTCGTATTGACCAGCAATCACCGGGATTCGAACCCGGTTCATCTCATTAAAAGGCGAACGTTCTATCCAATGAGCCAACGCTGCTCTGGCATTCTAGTTTAGCAGGATTATAATGGAGCAAATTTTGATGCAAGCTAAGTTGAAGATATATGAATTGTTCGGCGATACATTTCCGCCTAATGAAGTGTGTAAAACAGATGGTAAAATAATTAAAATTAAGAAAACTAGTAAATAATTTAAATCAATAGAATTTAATTCCCTGATAATTCCAGATTTTTCAGTTGAGTGACCACCCTGATATGCGTATCCCTCCGATCATGATATGCCTACCTGACAATGTGTGAACAGGCTTGATAATCTGGGAAGTTTTATCATAGAGATTAGCAATTAAATTAGTATTTAAAGGTAGCATTTAAATCTGGCATGTTTTTTTACAGTCATTTTTTTATGTCCTTAGCTAATGGAATTACAAATCGAATGGCAGATAGCGCGAGTCATATTGCACAATAATATTATAGAATAATGTGTTTTTAAAGAATAGGCGTAAAAATAAATCGGAAATAATGATTCAGAAGTTTTATTTCGAATTTCAACCACCATCTGTGCTTATCTCTATGAGAGCAAATTATTTTTAGGAATTGCAATTCGTCCCAAACTGAATACAAACAATTATCACTCTATTTTGAAAGCGTTTCTATGGAGACGGGAGACACTTCAAGCGGGGGAAACCATAAACGGTCACTCCGTTGACGATTCGGGGAAATGGAAGAAAGTCGTAGAAAAATGCGAAACTTTCATCAGACTTCTACAAACAGATTTCCCCCAAAAAAAATTATGAAAAAGAGACGATTACATGAAATAAATCAAAGAAGAGATGAGATAATAGGCCAAAAATAGAAACACAGAGAGAATTAACTCCATATTAATATCACAACACAAAAAATAGAAATTGCCGTAAAATAAATAAATAATTGAAATAACGTTCTACCTACCTATTTGTATTTTTGATAATCACATTAGTATAGCAATAAATGCAGTACGATTTAAATTTAGGGGTTGGGATTTTTTTTTTCGATTAAAATTACCTACATTGATTTAAATCCAATTTTTATTTTTAATTCAAATCGGATTTTTTTTTTTAGTGTATAAAATAACTTTCTACCTGCGAATGCGTATTTTTGATAATAATATTAGTATAGCAATGAAAGCAGTGCGATTTAAATTTAGGGTTTGTGATTTTTTTTTTGTATAAATTACCTGAATTGATTTAAATCTAATTTTTATTTTTAATTCAAATCGGATTTTTTTTTTAAAAAAATACAATAAGACATTTAGTTCATATAAATGAAATGCGACTAAAAGTAAACAACAACGTTACAAGTCTTAAAACAATTTTAGGTATAATTTTTTTTTAATGGAAAAGAAATGTATTAACGAATTGAAATGGCTAAAATAAATCAGAAAACTAATTTCGCAGATCTTTCATTATATTAATAAAAGTTCTTGAAATTATAAAATAAACTGCGTTAAATTTTACATTTAGTGCAGATTGATAAATGCTTCTCTTAGAATAATTTAGTTTACCCATTTATTGAAAAAAACAATTCTCACAATAAGAAAAGGCAGTTTATATATTTCTTTTTAACAATTTTTTTTATGCTATATTAGGATAATTTCCTTCTACTGTAACTATTTTAAAATATAGATATATATTTGAAGTATTAATATTAAAAGAGGCTTTTAGAATGTGGTTTAAAACTAGAAATTGGTTTCTAGTTTTAAAGTTGTTTCTAGTCTTTCTTTTTTTTTTCTTTCTTTTTTTTGAAGTTTAATAGGACAGGAAAAAAAAGAAGTCCCAAGTAAACAAATTAAATAAAGCTGAGGGATTATGCTTTGATTTGGGACCTTGGAACCTGTATTTTATCAGATGATAAACCCAGTAAGATGCTGGCAAAACTATTAGTTCATCAGCTTAATTCAGGGTCTGATTTACGTTCTTCCTTTACCCTGTAAAGACTTATATACTACTTTCTCACAAAAGACGAGTCGCCTGCATCTTAAATGATTTATTCACAAGTTATCAATGCACATCACAAACATTGACATATCACACACAAATATTAACATAGACATTTATCGAAATACCGCCATCATCATTTTTATAATCTCGACTCCCCTCTCTTTGGAAACAAACAGAAACCTAAAAGAAAGTTAGTGTGCCATCTAGTGGCCAGTTTCTTACAACCCATATAGTTGGATATAAGTTACAAGATAGATTTTGAATAAGATAGAATAAGGTATAAGATAGATTTTGTAATAAAAAAATGAATGGTTTGTTATGGTTGTTATATCTTGTTAATTGAAGTAATTTAATGATTTTCTTTTAAATATGGAGAAAACTTTATTAAATTTATCATTATTTTTGAAAATTATCATTAGATTGTAAGTTTCTTTTTTAATGTCAAAAGGTTACCTTCTGTAAAGAAATAAAGCTCCTTCCACATCAGTTTCTTTCTGAAAAAGTAAGGAAATAATAAAGTTATCAACATTTAACACAAGTTTGCATACTTTGTTTACATATGCACCAAATTTAACTACATTTTTAACCCTTTATGTATGTATACTTTTGAAGTATATACTTTCAACTAACTTCATTATAAAATCATAGATGGGAGAACAGTTTCTCTTTGACATTTTTTTCAAATGTCAAAGAGAAACTGTTCTCCCATCTATGATTTTATTTTATTCTATTACTGGGGTTGAACAGTCGGCCCAATTTTTGGGTTTACGACTACAAATGTTCAACTCTGTAGCCTTATAATTTTGAACCCAATCCAGAAGAGAAGGGAATTCCGTGATCAAGTATTGGATGAAATTTGCCTTCGTGGAGGACCTTTTTAATGAAACTAATCCGCATTGACCACTAAAACCATGCTTTGCATGTGGTCAACTTACGCATGTCTCACCGCACTTAAAAAAAATTATGTAAATAAATAAAAAAAAATAATCTTTCCTCAGAAATTCAAAAATTTTAAATTAAAACTTTGAAATTAAAAAGTTGGGGTTTAATAGAAATAAATACATAAAAATAAATGGAAATAACAATAAAACTTCCCCGTCTATACGTTGACCAACTGTCTACATTGAATTTGACCATTAAAACCATGCACTGCATGTGGTCAACTTGCAGGTTTCACTGCACTTGAAAAAAAATACTTAAAATTATGTAAATAAAAAATCTTTTCTTCAGAAATTCAAAAATCTCTTAACCTTGAAATTAAGAAGTTCCAATCCAGAAGACAAGGAAACTCCTGGATCAAGTATTGCGGAGGACTTTTTGATGGAACTAACTCACATTTGCGTTACATGGAGAAGAAACCCTCCCACATTTAGCCTGACGGCAAGGGGACTCTAACCCATGACTCATCTACCACTGAGGATATTTTACGTCAGCACTGTGGTCAGTGCAAGACTGATGCGGAACTCGTATCTATCAGCCATGGCTTGGATTCGAAACCGGTTCACCTCCTTTGAAGGCGAACACTCTATCTCCTGAGCCATCAAAGATCTCCCATTTAAGATTACACTTATAAAAATAATACCAACGAAGGCTTTGTTTACATAAATGTTGATTTCAATAAAAGTTAGTAGGGTTAATGAAAAGAAGGCAAAACGAGTGTTTGTAGCGTGTTATGCATTTGTTCAATTGATCATTTCTCACCAAGTTTATTTTTAGTTATAAATGAAGTATTTTTAAATTTGGTTATTTATAAGCACAGAAATTCTATTTTATGGTCATTTATTTATTATGGCCATTTATTTAAGGTAAAATTTTGAAAATTCTCCCCTTTCAAACCAAAAAAAAATATTAAAAACCAAATAAATTTTCCATAATAAGCAAAATGAATTTCTTTTCACAAATCAATCTCATTCCCAAAAACATTTTAAAATAACAAGTACTAGAAAAAAAGTAAAAGTAAAGCACTTGAAGGGCAGGCGAATTTGTAAATTTAAGTAAATTTTCTTACTACCTTAAAAATGTTTTTGGACAACTACCCTCAATCTATTAGTTATTACATATTATGCAAATGTTTTTTCATCCATCCATTGTTTAAATAAAAAACTATAAAGTAATATAAAAGAAAATAAATTATTACACTAAAACGTCAAAACCTGTTTGAAAATGAGTGAAATTAAATGAATTGGTCACGTACCAAGAGAAAAGGTAGAAAAATTAAGTCACTGGTCCTTGTGACTTTACTCCGTACATTTTTTTGACTGATTGATTTATATTAAATATTTTAAATAATACTTTCAAATTTTTAAAACAAACTGTTTTAGAAATACAATATTTAAGTTTCAATAAGTTAATTAAAAGAGCAGGCTTAGTATTAAATAAATTGTCTTTTTAATAGGTTTAATATTACATGTTTATCATAACAGAGTGCATAGCCAATTTTTCAACAAAAAAATAAGCACCTCTTTACTTTTTAAGCCCTATATACATTAACAAAATGCAAAATAATTTTCAAAGACTTTACATGATCATGAGAAAAGAACTAGTCTCTGACAAAAAACTCTTTCTTGATTATATTAGCCATCATAAAATGATCGAGCAATCTTTTGGTTCAATATCAGAGAGTGGAAAATGTAGCCTGAAATTGAGAATATCTTGCAAAATGCAGCAGAGTTGCACACGAGAGTGCAAGAATCTCACCGAACCCAGCTCAGTGGACGCACACGCGAATTCACAAATATTTCATCAAACATGCAACCTACGAAAATTCTCTTTTCTTCAAATTCCGAAGTTTTACATGTGTAACATGTTTTGTTACAATTTTTAATTGCTTTTTTAAGGAAAGTTTTGAAAATAAAGGAATTTTATTATGTTAAGTAATCATGGCTCTATCCCCTTCTCTCTTGTCAGCAAATCACAAACTCCCACCTCTCGTTCGTTAGGTCCTTACGTAATAATAGAACGCCACCACATAATTTAAAGAATTTACATTAATGAATTTTAAAATATGCAAAGATCAATCGTATGAAATCACATTTGTATAAAGTATAGTAAAAAAGTAAAGCCTTAACAAATTATGTCGTCATGTTTACTTAAAACTTACCCATTTCCCTAGTTCCTTTTCATATTTGTAAATAGCTACCTGGCAAGCATTGTCGATAATTTCAACAATGCTAGAATCAACCCGCTGAAGTGTTTTTAAATTAATTTGATTTTCAGTCATAGATGCCATGAAGAGAATACGAAATAAAAAGCGATTTCGTTTTGAATAGAAAACGAATAATATAATCCGAAGGTCATAAAAATTAATGAAAATTCTAAGAAGTTGACTGATAAAATAGTTTTTGAACTACACACTAATGAAAACCGGCAATCCGTGAAAAAAATCACATCCTAATGCTATTTCGAAACATTTATTTGTTTTGATTTTAAATGTCACTCTTTCTCAAGTTATGTTGAGATAAATTTTTTGCTTATAGCTTTATTAGACTACTAAGGACTTTTAAATATTAGCGTATACAGCTTATAGCTTATAGTTATGAAAAGTAATTTATGCCTTAGATGCCATTCTCACTAAATCTAAATCAGTACACGGGGAATTCAGTGATCGGTGATGCAGTGATACACGGGGAATGCAGGAATCAGATTCTTAATTTTTTTTTCATTCATGGGAAATTCGCCACAACTGAGCCAGCTGCAATGATGAGAACGGCCTTTAATCTCGCCTGGACCCATGACGGTGACTATGGTAGCGAGGTAGAACTATTTCACGTAGGGGTGTGGGATCACTGTTTCGGACAGGTTTTGGCTCGCGTCAGCGAAAAATAGGGAATGTTTTTCTTCGGTCCATTGTATTAATCCGTCCCGCAGTGGACTGATCGTTAAGCAAATCGCCAAAGTCAAGCATAACTGACTGCTGCTAGTGTGCTGGTGGGTGACCACTTGGATCAGTCTGCGTAGGGACCGAGGATGTGCGGTACTGGTCCTCGTTAAACTGTTCCACCGTGATGTGCCTGACTTCACGTGCAGGTCGCCAGGCTAGCGAAGAGGGGGTGCCATCCCCTCTGCAGAGGACCAAAATTGTGATGGCATGTCTTCGGATCATCCTATGGGATGTTTCCCAGGCCGTCGCCAATATCCCATTGTGCAGCTCTAGTGCAACGTAAATGAACTGCAACAACAACATTGTATTATCCCTAAAGTGAAGCGAAGCTACCCTCCATTTTTGTTTCCTTAGAAACAAACGGCCTCATGTCTTGTGGCAGGAGGAGTTCTTAAGGTTGACCAACAATATATGAGGCGTGAAGGCTCAAGGGATAGAGCATTCGCATTCCAATAAGGTGAGCTGGTTCGAATCCTATCGTTGACTGGTCGATACGAATTCCACATACCGCTTGCACCGACCACAGTACTGACGTAAAATATCTACTGTGGTAAACGGATCATGGGTTAGAGTCCCCTTGCCGTCAGGTCAGCCGTGGAAGGTTTTCCTCTCTATGTAATGCAAATGCGGGTTAGTTCTATCAAAAAGTCTTTCGCGAAGGCAAATTTCCCCCAATACTTGATTCAGGAGTTTCCTTGTCTTTTTATTTAGGTTCAAAAAAACATGGTTACGGAGTTGAACATTGGTATTCATAAATTGAAAATTTGGTCAGCTGTCGACAGTTTCAACTACGGTTATAATAATACTATTATTATTGATTTAGAGGATGTTCTGTAATCCCATCTTCTGATACCATTTGAAGAAATATGTATCAGATCAAAAATTTACTAATTCACGAGTGAAATATCTTTGGAAGTTGCATTCATTAATAACATATTCTACTGCTACTTCAATCACCGGGAATGCGGGGATGCAACTTCAAAATTTAAACAAACCCTTTCTTTTGTGGCAGATTTGGATTTTTCTGAAAAAATATTCCACACATACTTATAGATTTTCGCATTTTGTTTCACATGCGGCGCAGTTGTCAAAAAATGAAAGTGGTAAGCTAACTTAAAATTAAAAGTTTTTGTATCAAATTAGGATTCTCCACAAAAAAAAGTAACCCAATTTTACCTAATAATAGGTATTTGCTTTTTGTTTCACAGATGACTCAGTAATCGTAAAATGAAATGGTGTGAAAGTAGTATAAAATGGAGATGCATAAAAAAATGCTAAATCGAAAAATTAAAAGTAGACATGTTTGATATTTCGAAAAAATGCATTTTTTTGACTCTGAACTCCCCACTTTTTATTTCTTCTCTGAAAGGGGGAGAGCTGAGTTGTGTGTTGTTTTGTTTATTTTTCAAGTCAGTTACCCATTCCTTTATACACTCGTTTTCTAAATCATTGATTCACTTATATACTGATTTGGAAATTCCTTATTCAAGAATATTACTAATTATTCATTCACTATCGATTGTAACAATTCCATTATTCCTTCATTCATTTCTTAAATTATTCACTCCCTATAATAAAAATCCCTTACAGTTATTTTTTTCCCCTAGAGAAGCTAACATTCGATTTCGAACTTTAAAGTAAATAATTTTATCTTGCACAATAACCACGTGTAGAGTAAGTAGATTATATAATCATTTAAAAAATCAAAATTAAAATTTGCGTAAAATACAGCGACAGATAAATACCAAAGGTCGTCATAGTAACGAAAAATATTCAATGACTAGCTCTCTTAAATGATATTAATATCTGAGTATCTCTCTTTAGACAAATTTGAATTCTTGACCTTCAAAATATGGAAAAAGAGTTATTATCTAGAATTTTGGTCTGAGGTCAGGAAAGCGATTCAAAATTGGAGTCCCTTAATTTTTACTTTTTGCATATTTAGTTACATCTCGAGAACTTTTTGGGCTAATTGATTTTTATTTATTTACTTATTAATATTTTTTAATAATAAAGTTTTACAAGTTTTACATCATTTTAAATTATGTATTAATAAGGGACAAATTCAAAAATTTGAATTTAAAATTCAAATTTTGCTGTTAAAGTCCTGAGTTATTCAATTTGAAAAAAGTCGCATACTTAAAATTGTATTTCTCGGGAATTATCCGACCGATTTCGTTCAAATCTGAAATTTCATAATTTAAAACCACTAACATGTAATGATGCAAAAAATCATGTACCTTATAATTTAGAACTTTTTTGACTATTCTATGTGTATAATATATTAAAGAATTTATGTGTGTACGCACGCGTGTCTTGTATCCGGTACTATACCAAGTATGTACCGGATTACTGCTGGATTGCTGCATACCGGATTGCCTGATATACCATAGGCATTAAAAATACGACATTCAACATGAAGCTACAGTTTGTCTACGGTAAGAACTTCCCCCGCCACAAAGTGTGAGGCCTTTGGCTGCTATGGAAACAAGAATAACGCTTTTCAGGGAGGGCAGAAGCTACCCTCCCTGAAATGCGTTATTCTTGTTTTTTCTTCACTCTTATTCGTTGTTCTTTACTCTAGGGCCAACACCGAAGAAAGATATTCCCTTTGTCTCGCCGACCCGAGCTAAAACCTGTCCTAAACTATGAACCCACATCCCTAATTGAAATAGTTGTACCTCGTTGCCATAGTCACCACCACGGGTAAGGACGAATGGTTAGGGGAGTTCTTACTTTAGACAAACTATAAATGAGTAAAATTGTAAGAAAATTATGAAGTCCACTCTTCTATCTTTCTAATAAGATTTTAAATTTAGAGACACTTAAAAATTTGGATATTCTCATTGAGTTAGCGTAATCTATTGTTTCAAATTAAGCTATAGACGATTCAGTTTAGTCACTAATATTAGCGAGCTTTTAGCTCTAAAAAAAATACAAACAACTTTTTTTAAGCGTTAAATAAAACTTAATTATTCCTTTATTCGTCTTGCCAATTTATCTAACTGATCAAAGTGATAGTGATAAGAGTCCTCTACTGTAGATTCAGGTCAGACGATTCTACTATTGATTTTATTTTATTTTATAGCCGTCGTTGAACAGCCGACCCAATTTTCGGATTTACGACTACTAATGTTCAACTCCATAGCCTTGTAATTTTGAACCCTATCCAGAAGACAAGGGAACTTCTGGATCAAGTATTGGGAGAAATATGCCTTCGAGGAGAACTTTTTGATGGAACTAACCTGCATTTGCGTTACATAGAGAGAAAGATCACGAAAACCTCCCACGGTTAGCCTGACGGCAAGTGCACTCTAACCCATGATCCGCGTACCACTGAGAATATTTTACGTCAACACTGTGGTCGGTGCAAGCCGGATGCGGAATTCGTATCTACCAGCCATCGCCGGGATCGAACCCCGGTTCACCTAATTGGAAGGCGAACGCTCTATTCCCTGAGCCTTCGCGGCTTTCTACTATAGATTTTATTTTATAACCGTCGTTGAACAGCCGACCCAATTTCATGGGTTTACGACTACTTACGTTCAACTCCGTAGCCTTGTAATTTTGAACCAATCCAGAAGACAAGGAAACTCCTGGATCAGTACCCCCAGAGGTATTGATTTGTTGTGGGAACATGGAGGACTTTGAGACTCGACAGATTTAACGTGCATCAGTCACCATTTACTACACGGGGAGTCTTCGGCCGGCGAGGATCGAACCCACGACCTCTTGGATATGGGCCCAGCGCCCTACCGACCAGGCTATCCCAGCCTCTACTATAGATTGCTCCAATTCACATCCTGGTCGGATAGATGGACTACTTAACCAAATTAGCATTCCTAAAGTTATCTGAGCCCACGTATATATTTCGCTTATAGACATGTGCTTAAAACGTGTTACTATAAAATTTTATCGCTTAAAATCAGCGGTAATTGAAATAGAAAAAAAGTTTTGTACTGAAAGGCAACATGATGGAGAAATGGTACTAATTCGTTTTAGAGAGCGGGGGAAAAAAATCCGAAAACAATTATTTACGTCAATGATGCTTGATGATTAATCCCAATGCTTGATCTACGAGTTCCCTTCTCTTCTGTGTGGGTTCAAAATTACAAGACTGCGAAGTTGAACATTAAATGACGTAAAACTCAGAATTCGACCGGCTGCTTAACACAGATTGTAAAATATAAAAAAAATGATGCTTCATTTATTTTGCTAATTGAAATAAAAAATAAGCAATATTCTAAAAATTAAAATTAAATTAGGAAATGTACTTATTCGTTAGAGGGAATTGCAAAAAGTCGCCTAACTATTATTAACACCAATGATGTTTAATTTTGGTAATAAACACAGCACCATTTTTTTAAATTTTATAACCGTCGTTGAACAGCCGACCCAATTTAGGGTGCTGATGTTCAATTCAGGATGTCGTAATTTTGAACCCTATCCAGAAGACTAGGGAATTCTTGGATCAAGTAGTGGAAGAAATTTGCCTTTGAGGAGGACTTTTTGATGGAAATAACCCGCATTTGCGTTGCATGGAGGAAAACCACGAAAACTTAACACGGTT